TTGTTGGTTGTCTGTAGCCCAGAAGTCTTTAATCATAGCCTGAACAAACCTAGCGATGTAGCCCAGCTTTAACCTGCATACCGGATGTCATTGTGTTGACATGACATGACATGTGAATGACCAAATACAGTCTCACACAAATTGCTGGGTTTCTATGAGCCGAAGTAACACTTCCTCTCAAAAGCAGGAGAATACATTTTCTCAAACAAAGGATTATGAGAGTCATGTTTTTTTTGCAGAAGTAGAAAAGTGTGTTTTTTTTCTTCTCTCCACAACCTGCTCTTCCAGGTTCAACATGGACATCCGACACATTAAGATCACGTCCACTGACGGCCTGTATCGCATCAATGAGAAGAAAGCCTTCAAGGGAATAATCGTAAGTCTTTCAGACCTAAAAAAGGTTGACACTGACTGGAGAAAAAACATACCCTTTACATGAAATCATATTTTATCTTCTTAAACCACATCCAATATTCTGCCTCACATGTTCCTCTCCTTCTCCTCCTGCTTGTGGTCTTCTTTCTGCATTAGGAGATGATTCAGTTTTACCAGCAGAACTCTCTGAAGGAGTATTTCAAGGATGTGGACACCACGCTGCTCACGCCTTTCAAACAGCCGGAGCAAAGCAACTCGTCGAACAACGCACAAAACGCCACACAAAACGCCACACCTAACGCCACACCAAACACCACACCGGGTACAGTACATCTATATTACCTCGCATACCTTACTACGATCCTGTTCAAGGAATAGTTTGAAGATTTGTCAAACGAAAATACAGACACCACAGTCATGAGAGCGATATAGATATTTGCTTCAAAGTCTTTGCAAGAAAGCGGTTAAGATAATTTACTAGAATGTTCAACTCTTCTATTAAGCTTATCCATGATGCAACGTTGGTGGTTCCCAACCGAACAAGCCATGGTGAAGCTTCTTTCAATTGTTAAATATGTATTTAACAATCTCCTGTTGGAACAATCTGCTAGAAAAACTCGACTTCAACCACTTTTAGAAAATAAACTAATGACTGATTTGTTAATGACTGCTTTTAACAAAAAAAGTGCACTCAGTGGTTGATTTGCACTGAAATTGTTCTTTAATTTGGTAGTTTTTTCATGGGTTTTTTATTATTTATTGAATCTTTATTAAAAAAGTGAAAGAAGAAGAAAGAATAAAAGAGTTTAAAATAAAATCTTCATTGAAAAATAAATTGGATTTACTATTTTTCTCTTACCGTTATGTGATATTGATCCGCCTCTCTGTGTAGAATCAGAAACAGGTTTATTACCAGGTAGGTTTACACGTAGGAGGAATTTGACATGTGTCGTGGTGTCCGGCAGTGGCTCAGTCAGTAGGGGCTTGGACTGTGAGCCGTAGGGTTGCCGGTTCAAGTCCCCGACCAGACCTAAATATGGAGTGTGGACTTCTACTTGCAGGGTTCTTACGGTCATTAAAAACCTGGAAAAGTCATGGAAATTCAAAATGCTAATTCCAGGCCCTGGAAAAGTTATTGAAAACAATATTTTTCCCAAAGTTTTGGAAAAGTCATGGAAATGTAACTAAAGTTGCATCAAATATAATTTATATTTTATCTAATCGCCAAAATAGTAATACTATAATGATAATAAATACTGTATCGTATAGTAATGAAACGTAAAATGGCATTTAACTGACGAGGTATTTTGCTGGTGAGAGATTTTAGTTGCTTTAGCCTGTAGAAGCTAGTAAGCCTACTATTGGATTTGTTTTAGATAGGCACAACATGTTTCATATGCAGACCTGATTTTCCTGTTCCATGTTAAAATAAACCATTTTCAGTGGTACCACTGAGAAAGAGTAATTTTTTTGGTCATGGAAAATTAGGTAAAGGTCATGGAAAAGTCATTGAAAATCATTGGTGTATGAACCCTGTACTTGGAGAGGTCCCAGTTTACCTCCTGGGCCCTGCCGTGGTGTCCTTGAGCAAGGCACCGGACACCCCCCTTCCCCCCTCACTCCCATTGCTCCCCGGGCGCTGTACAATAGCTGCCCACTGCTCCTAGTACTAGACTCCTGGTACTACGATGGGTTAAAAGCAGAGAACACATTTCACTGTGTGTGCTGTGTGCTCTGCATGTGAGACCATTAAAGAGGGTTTCATCCCTCCATATTCTAATTCTAATACATACAAGTAAAACAAGAATTAAAAACACAGAAAAATATTTAAAATAATAAAAAATATAGTACAATATAACAGTATTTACATTGCAATGGAATAAGAAGGAATAAAATATGGAATAAAAATCGACAGTACTAATAATAATAACTAGAAAAGGCATTACCTGCTGAAAATGCGTGCAGATTCTGTAAGCTGCGCACATTTGTTGCTGAAAATGCAGAGAAAGCTGAATATGTGAATAGCTGAATGGTGACTGTAGCTGTATAAACAAATTACTTTTAGCAATAATGTTTAAATGTGATGTGCAATAGTTGATAAATCTCCACTAAGTATGTGTTATCCTGCAATAACTAGCTGATCAATTGTAGTAAGGTGTAAAGATATTAACATGATGACTGTCGAAATGGAACCGGCAACTTTATAATTGAGAGACCAATGCAGTAACACAGAGCCACAGTCACACCTGGTAATAGGTAGTGTGGCTGTCTGTTTTAAAGGGTACATGGACAGTGGGGGTTTGAATGTGTTGCACAGCATTCGCACTAATTAAAAAAAAATTAAAAAAAACAGATATTGTTGTACATTGTGTGCAATCTGCTCTCTAAAGTAACCTGCCTTGCTTCGACAGGAGGCAGTCTGAAGTGTTTGGGCGTGGTCCGGGCCCGGTACAACTTCTCCCCCAGAGACCGCTCAGAGCTGTCGCTACGGGAGGGCGACACCATCAAGATCATCTCCAAGAAGGGCCACAACGGGTGGTGGAAGGGAGAGGTGTACGGCCGGGTGAGGAGGAGAATACAAAAACACAAGCAAATTAAAAACCTAACTTTTTAATATGGCTTTTAATTTGGGTTAACTTTCAATTCTCACTATGTCCATGTTTTACTGTATATTTTTCTGTGTGCTTTTAATTAACATATTTAATTTTCTTTCTTAAATTGTTGTATTTAAACACATGTAGATGTTTTATCTTGTTCTGTATTAATTTTAATATTATTTTAATATTGTTGTTATGTTCTCTGTAAAGCACTTTGGGCTGCTTTGTGCATGAAAGGTGCTATACAAATAAAGTGTATTATTATTATTATTTAGAGGTTCTGAGGTGTCTTGTCTTACCAGCTACTACTTACTTACCTGTATATCACTTTAATTTAATCTTTAATTGTATTATTCTTGTGTTAATCTGTTTCGCTCACTCTGTTGCTGCTTAAACTCATGCATTTCCCCATGGGGATTAATAACGGTCCATCTCATCTTACTCTCCTTTGGTTCAAGGTGGGGTTCTTTCCAGCCAACTATGTGGAGGAGGATTGCTCCGACTACTGCTGACGAGGCTCCACAGGAGGAGTGTGGAGCCATACTTGTGGAGGTCTGTGCCTGCCTTCCACACATCAACCTTTATGCACGAGAGATATACTGTGATTTGATGACTGTCATGTGATGTGAATAAAACCTTTCTTTAACTGACATGATGAGCGTCTGGTTATTGCACTAAAGCAGTTTCTTAAACGTTACACGCAGATGTGATTGATGAACATCTCATTTCAAAACAACAGGTCTGAAAGGAATACTTCACCAAAAGAAAGATAAGAAAAAAGATCATTCGGATTTTAATGTATCAGCTTGCGTTACATTTTTTCTTCATTCTCGCAGAAAACGTTTATTGTCTTGCATGCCTCTTTGGTGAAGGAAGAAGGCGAGTAATTGATATACAAATAGTCACTTTGTTGGTGAATTACTTTTACTGTATCTGCAGCCATAATCAAATCAAATCAAGTTTTATTTATATAGCACATTTAAAAGCGATTTTTGGTCGAGCCAAAGTGCTGTACATGTAATAAAAACACTTTACTACAATCACAATAAAAGACCATTTACAACAGAAATATAAAACACAAAAACACAGGAAATAGTCAGGTCCGCTCTGACTAGAAGGCCAGAGAGAAGAAGTGTGTCTTCAGTGAGGATTTAAAAACCCCTAGGGTCTGGGCCGACCTCACATGGAGGGGCAGAGTGTTCCAGAACCTAGGGCCAGCTGCTGCGAAGGCTCGGTGCCCTCTGGTTTTGAGCCTGGTCTTGGGCACTACCAGCAGCAGCTGGTCAGCAGACCTTAAAGCTCTGGCTGGGGTGTAGCGCTGGAGGAGTTCAGCTATATAGGCCGGAGCCAGCCCATTTAGGGCTTTGAAAACAAATAAAAGGATTTTAAAATCAATTCGGAACCGAATTGGAAGCCAGTGTAGTGAGGCCAGAATTGGGGTGATGTGATGTCACGCTTTTTGTGGCCAGTCAGAAGACGTGCAGCTGCGTTCTGGACTAGCTGCAGGCATCTAATTGAGGCCTGGTCCATACCCACATACAGAGCGTTGCAGTAGTCCAGTCTCGAGGTAACAAAGGCATTAATAACCCTTTCTAGGTCTTTAAAAGATAAAAATTACTTGGTCTTGGCCAATAGTCTTATTTTAAAAAAGCAGGATTTGACTATGGAGCTGACCTGCTTATCAAATTTAAAAGCGCTATCGAAAGTCACTCCAAGGTTCGTGACAGAGGGGAGGATGTTTTCATTGAGAGAGCCCAGAATATCAACTGGAGAGGCTGGAGGTTGGGGTCCAAAAAAGATGACCTCAGTCTTGCTCTCGTTGAGGTTAACGACATTTTTGCTCAGCCAGGATTTTATCTCTATCAAGCAGTCCATCAACTGCTGTAGTAATAACCTCCACTCTTACAATAAAGTGTATAAACATTTAAGTAATTAGCTTTCAGATTGTTAAACATACAACAGGTGTTCCTGTTTCTTCTTGCTTGAAAAAAACAACTAACTAATGGATGCCAATGAACAGTCTTGTGAATAGGTATAAACATCCTTTTATTCAAAAATATCAAAACAAAAACTGTGGAACAACAACATGACTTTCGGTCAATTTATGGGCAAAAATCATAATCTAAAATGGTGTGTGTGTTTTCTGCTCTCAAGATCCGGCTCCTCTTTCAGTTGTGTTGTCTGATCATGGTTGTTTCCTGCGACTGATCCCGTGTGTGTGTGTGTGTGTGTGTGTATCATGGAAGAGTCATCTCTGCGTTATTGACTCGAGGTCCTCTACTGGTAGTACAGCTCCAGGTTCATCCCATCGTGGATTTCATCTGCAGAGGTCGTGGTTAAGTACAACACATCAGGTAAAATAGTTCCACTGTCTATTGAGCTTGATACAAATTGACATACAATAATGTCATTTCAGCCAACAATTACTTAATAATGCAGAGGCGTTTATTATAGACTGTAAATAAAACCTGCAAGTTGTATAATGTCACAGACAGAGATACATATTACTGCAACTACATTGGTTCTAGTATTAATTGTGAAAAGAAACAGTTAGTAAAAATGGTAACTACTTGTGTTTTTGGACCATGTTTTGCAAGGGGATCAAACACTTATTTCCCACAGTTAAATGCAAATACATTTATATTTTACATAATGTCAATATTATTTTTGATATTCTTACTCTCACTGTTTATATAAACCTACCATTAAAATGATAGACTGTTAATTTATTTGGGCAAACTTACAAAATCTGCAGGGTGTCAAATACTTATTTCCTCCACTGTGCATACTGCTGGATCTCTAAATCCACTATATTAAAAGCCAGTATTACACACAGCTCCATCCTTAATTTACACAATTGCTTTCTTTTTGAGTTGTAAATTGACCTCTGTGACAAAGTGGCAGTAAGAGATCAGCTGCAGAGCGTGTTTAAGGATACAGTCTCCCAGGGTTACGTGGTCCTTGAATATGGTATACCTGTGGGAACAGAGGAGGAACATTTAGCTGGTAGCAGAAAATACATTTACACGTTTATGTTATAATTAGGGAATCAGCATTACAGACAACAAACTTACCATTTCTTTAAAACAATTTTGTCAAATCGTGTTCCTGTCTGGGCGGCAATGAGCTTCTTCAGATCTCCAATCGTATCTTCAGAGCTGAGAAATGGTGGTCAAGGAAGAAGCAAACAGGTGGTGTATACAAGACATTCAGAACCATGCACTTCGTTGCTCTATATAACAAATATGATTAAATGTATTTGGTTGAAAGAGCCTTTAGCAATACATAAGAGCAAAAAAAGATCCAATGTTCATGAACAATAACGTATACAAAGTGGGAAACATTACTGTACACGTTTGAGTTGAACATAGTGCGAAAAAAAGGTGTTGATCAATTTTTCCAAAAATATATATATATCCAAAATAATTTATACTATAAGATAACTTTTAAATTAAACATTTTAAAGTTTCTGTTGCTCTGTCTTCAGTTCATACAGAAAATAAAGCTTTGTAGAAATGAAAAAGATCTTTATATAAGTGTACTTACTGTTTAACTACCTGTCCACATCTCTGTACACCGTTTTTTATTTATTATTTCTCATTGCAAACACATTTACATTCATTAATTCACTTGTATCTGTCTACAATACATATTCCTTTAATGCATGTTATTTTTTCTCAACAACTCTTTCGCTAACAGTTCTGCACATGACATAACTAACTTGAAACCCATTCAAAACTCAACCTAACTCCACGTTAGCTGTACGTGGGCCCAGGTATTACACTCAGGACGCATTATTCAGGATCATGTCCACAGTTTCAGAAAAGGATACTTGCATTTAACCCGGACTTTTTTGCCCAGGCGATCGTTGCAAACCACCTCAATCATCTTCAGTTTCTGTAAGCTGAATAACAAGAGACACAGTTAGCATCACATGTGAGAGTCGCTTCATACTTTTCCATACAAACCTTAAACCAATAGTAGTGGTACATATAGGGTAGTTAGAAGCTCAAGCAAATGTCGTTCATTCAAAGAGTATGAGATATGATAAAACAGGTATTTAAAATGAATTTCTGGATGTTTTGTTTGAAAAAAGCTAACATTAGCTAGCCTAAGATCACGACACCAGAAATATACACTCCAGTGTGCGTATTGTCGCAAACGCCACACGTAAAGCAACTTCCTGTCTCAAAAATAAAGAGGATTGTGATACTTCTCAAAGAAAGGCGTCTTAAATGTTAGATTCCTACCTGCAAATTCACAGCAGAATACAAATACAAATATATTCCCTTTTCGACAGAATACTCTGGATCGCACACTTTACCGTAAAGCAGATACAGTTTGCGTATCAACCTATCGACCAATCAAATGGGCATGTTGATGATTGACAGCCCAAGGGAGCCAATGAGCAAAGTGAAAAACACGTCAAAGGCGGAGCTTATTCTGAAAACAACTCGTACCGTAAACAGTTTGTCTAGCTGCAGCCCAGCCTGTCACACACGCTAGCTTCATTGAAATTACATTTGAAAACGGTGCTACAGAAAAATAATAAAAATGTCAGACGAGGAGAATATGCCAGCTGGATGGGAGAAAAGAATGAGCCGCAGTTCAGGTAATAAATCCCGAACCCTTTAGAAGTTAAATATGCTAGTTAAGCTGCATGCAATGTGTAGTAAACTTAGCTTGGAAGCTAGCAGCCCTAGCATCGTGTTTTGCTGTTTAAACGAAGAAGATAGATGATTATCTTTAATGGGGATATGCTTTAAGTAGGGATCGGTAGTTTGGTGTTATATGTGTGTTTTCTTAAATGTGGTGTTTTGGTATTATTTGGTGGGTGTGCTTCATGATCCATTCAAACCTGACTGCTGCAGGGCCCCGCATGACGTCATTCCTCACCTGCAAGGCAGCACGAGCCTCAGACCGCAGGGTTTTAAATAATTTATGATAGGAGGTTAAACAAAAGCGCACTAGAGTCTTATTCCATAACAAAAAAAAAATGTGCAGTGATGGATAAGTATTTAGATTCTTGGTTCTTCACTGTCAAAATACTCCAAAACAAGTTAAAGTTCTGCTTTCAAAACCTTAAGCAAAAGCATGTACTCATCTGTTTACATCACATATAAACAAAATGTATTAACCTTGCAGTATACAGTATTTATTTCCCTATATACAATTTAAATAAATAAATGATGTCTTTCCATCTTACATTAAGTAGATAACTTAATCCTTCATTTTACTTGCACCATTGCATCACTTTTTATCGCAATACTTTACTTAAGATGAATGAAATGAAAATATAATCATTGCATCTTGAAACTCCTATTTTATTACACTACTACACCGTATAAGCTACTATTTGTCATATCCCATAGTACTACATTATAAACTGGTGAACTGGTACTTGGACCCCAGGGGGTACCTCTGCATTTTCCTGGGGATACAAGGGAAGCTCAGATATTAAGCTAAACAAAACTGTACATAAGTTATGATTTGATTATAAGATATATCTACAGATTTTTGTCGTTGTTAAAAATGAAAATAATCAGTTAATATGTTAAATTGTTCGCCATAATGTTGTGGTGTGTTTGTTAAAAGTACTCACTGAATGCAGCTTTAATGACTCTCTCTTTCCTCCAGGCAAGGTGTATTACTTCAACCACATCACCAATGCCAGCCAGTGGGAACGTCCGACAGGAGACAGCTATGGAGATCCAGATAAGGTTATTATGTGTATATTCTGCTATGTATTTATAATTATAATAACAATACACTGTTACTATGGGTCACTTTCAAAACTACTAACTGTTACACCAAGTTAAGTGATCTAATGTTAAAAAGGGGCTCATTTTCAGGTTCATATTAGTATGTAGTGTCTCTCCTGTGACATGTCTCCATGCTTTAATGTTCAAAAAGCTCTTTATGTTTCTCATACTGCCTGTGCTGCAGCACTTCTTTTCACCCTCTGTCTGAAACCAGAACCCAGTCTGCTCTGATTGGTTAGCTGGCCGGCTCTGTTGTCATTGGTTTAACCGCTTAGAGAAGTCCCGCCCCTTAGCCTATGACGTACAATGTGTTATACCACAATCCAATAGAAGCCTGAATGTTACATAGTGATGTCACTATGTTACGGTAGTAAACAAAGGAGTCCAATGGGGGCGTTTCAGGCAGAGTGTGTGGGAGAGAAACTCCCTCTGGAGGGAACACAGGGATTTTAGCCTTTGCAGACCATTTACATCAGGGGTGTCCAAACTTTTTTCACCGAGGCCCACATACAGAAAAATATACGAAGGGCTGGGCCACTCACTAGATGTTGCCTCACAAGTTCAGTTATAAATTAGTCAAATCAATCAAATGTAGGTAGATTATGCTTTTCAGTGTTGGCAGCTCATCCCTTAAAACAGAAGCCTCAGATTGATTATAATAAGGAGAAATAGGAAGGGTGTATTTCAAGCTTGTTATGTAAATAAGTCATTGGGCTTTTTTTATCAACTAAGCTATGTTAGAAAATGTTTCCAACTTTAATTGACTGAATTTATTTGAAAAGTGGTCTTATTAACACATGAATACTACTGTGTGATATATGTTTACATTTATAGTTAAGAAGTACAATATAAGACAAGCACAAGTTTAATTTGTGGGCCATATTCCATTATACTGTTTTAAATAGCTGAGGGCCGATTCAAAATGGTCCGCGGGCCGTAGTTTGGACACCCCTGATTAACATGCACCAAAGCCTATATAGCACACTACAGGAAAAGGAAAACCCCAAAAAGAATAACAGGGCCTCTTTCAGATGAATGACGAGTGAACAAGGCTTTATGAAGCTTTGGGATTTTTAACTGTAAAGCGTTGATGCATTTATCTCGGCAAGAACAATGACATCTGCTGGTTTGCATAAATTAAAGCACACCTTTAAGGCTACAGAACAACAACACTGTGAATGTCATGCCGCGGTTTTCTATCAGTGTAAAGAAAAAGCATCAGATTGTACACCTGGCATTTCAATGACATTCAAGAGGTTAACAACTTATTAACATTTACAACTCCTGACATGATTAAGGTGCCGTTTACACGAGGACAAAACTGCTTGTATCTGCATAGTTTCTCTTACGTATAACCCTATTATTTACACGAGGCCGATAGAAACGGACCCCACAAACGATAACGGGTCCCAAGGTGGATAGATTTGCAAACGAAACTCTCTGGGGGGTCAAACGAGTCCGTGTAATCGCCTCTATACGAATATTTCTGTCACTATACTGTCAGTAGCTACTGCTAGTGCTACTGCTACTGACCATGCTACAGATGTTAGTGCAAAATCTACAGCTCCTCTACCACAACCATCAGCAACAAGTGGACATGGAGAATTACATTAACTACTGTTGCTAAATCCACCGCGGGGCATAAACAGAAGGGTAGCCATGGCAACATTGCTCCGGGCTGCTCCGGGGTCTTCTTCGCTGCTTTTGGTGTATTTTGTGGCGGAAGTTACAGCGCCACTTACAGTCCCAGCATATGTACTACAGTGTGTCCAGCGCTTTCGAGTGGTCTCGTGTGGAAGTACAGCGCCACTTACAGTCCTGGCATATGTACTACAGCGTTTCCAGCGGTCTCGTTTGAACAGACACGTTAAATGAAACGAATGCATGTGAACGGAAGACTTTTTTGAAAGCGCATACTGTGCATAAACGCAAACGTTCCCGTGTGCATATGGCCTAAGTCAGGGCTATTCAATTAGTTTGGAATGGGGGCCGGTTGATGAAAATGATCCAAAGCAAGGGGCCGGGAAAAAGATGGCTTGAAATATGAGCAATCATATTTAAGAGCTTCAGATACAGTAAATACTACAACAGCATAGTGGAGTGCATATATTGTGTTTAATTCAATCAAACAACATAGCCCCAAGGCCTTTATAGATCTAAATGGCAAGTTCAGAACTCAGTAGGCCTACATGTTTCATTTGATTTCATTTAGGTGAAATGATCTAATCATTCACGCAGAGATGCAATCAATGACAGGAGTTGTCACTACAGTATAGTAGGTGGGTTCGAAACCCGAGCCCGTCGAAGTTTTCAGGCATTGTCTACCCCTCTATCTCTCAATGTAACACCCTCTCTGGAATAAAGGCACTATGGCAAAAAAAAAAAAAAAATCTTACATTTTTTTTTTTTATTACTTTTTAACATTATACTCAAAGGGCCAGTAAATATCACCCCGGGGCCGGATTTGGCCCGCGGGCCGCCAATTGAATAGCCCTGGCCTAAGTCATTCTCTTGGAAAAAGTCTTTATGACATCCTAGTGTTTACAACCCAAGTAAGAAAGACAATTTATTAATAATTTACTCACTTTCCATTAAGTGCATGTTCATATAAATACATTATCACTTTCCAATTGGCTTGAATCTAAAATACACATTTAACACTTTTCTTTTAAACAATGATAAAGCCATTAGTTACAACCAGTGCTGGGTAACATGACTTTGAAATTACTTATTAGAGTACTTTTGCCTTACACAATTGAATTCCTTTTGTTTTATATTGTCTTTTTAAATGTACCATCATTAGGCCATCAATAGGCAGCAGTGAAAATAGAAATGAAACATTATTTAATTTATGTATTTCGTGAAACAACATATATTTAATTTACTTAGCTTTTCGACTCTCTAATGTATGAAACAAAGCTTTGCATCAATGCTTTTGATGTATCGTGTTATTCATTATAGACTTTATATTGATGATCTTGTGAAAAGTAAGAGACACGGTTGATATTGCATTTCCTCCACAACTTTACCGGCTACAAGCTCATTCATTTTAACCCAGGCATAAATCACATTTCACTGATGTTCTCATTACTATATTGAATCTTTTTTGTAAATAACGTATTTTCAAACTAATGCGTCTAGTCTCTCATTACAACAAGGATAGAATGTGATCTAACACTGGTTACAATTATTAATTCATAGTATGTCTTTTTAAAAGTGATACTGACTTGACAAGACATTTTTCTTGATTCCTCTGATTGGTCACTGATCCTGTCGTGGCGTTTTAATCCGTTTCTAAATTTAATAACCACTTTTCTCTATTGGGGTTGTGGGTTATGACGCACCTCTCTTTGTTTCCAAACAAACTTTGCGGAGATCTTTGTAGCGTTAAATCACATCAGATTTAATCTTTGATCAAGGCGGCATACAAACGTGAAGACAAACTTCCTCGCTTCAAAGTAACTAAAAGTTCTCTGTATCAAAATAGAACAAAAAGATCACGGTCAAAAGACTATACCGCTTCCCGTCTAATCACACACTCAGCTGTGTACCATTGTTTAATTTCATTT